TGTAGTTTAGAGGAAGCTCCGTCCGGTCTTTTCTCGTACAATGCATATGACTGAAGATCGACCTCTACCGTCCCGGGGCGTACTCTCATTAGTAAGGTATATAGGAGTCTTTCTGGACAAATGGGAAATGCCAGGCTGATTGAAAAGTAAAGCTATAAAGGGGCTTGATATAATTGCCAATTTTTCCACGAAAGGCAGGGGTTTTACAAAGAACTATGAGTGAATTTAGATTTTACAGTCTGAAAGAAGGAATGGTGTACATGTTCAGACCTATCTTCCAAGAGAACTCATGAAGACCCATCCTCAGAGACCCAGGGGCAGTTTGATGGGTAATTGGAAGAGCGCACCTTTTTTCTCGACCCAACTGACTGCCCCTCGAAGGGAAAGGGGAGGTCTGAGAGGATGATGAAGACTCCTATTCCTGGTATCCAGATAACAGATTTCTGATTCGCGTTCGCCGCTTGAGGATATTTAATTTTACTAGTTGAATAGCATGGTCTGTTCAATCCAGCTCACCTGACTGTCAGGACACTGTCTATACTTATCGCCATATATAAATTTACACTGGGTGTCCGCATTGAAGAGAAAACCAGGCAATTTTCCAGCCAGGCTCTTGTTTCCTAACGTAGGAACCGACAAGCTGGGAGGATCATCAAGACACTTGGAACCTGGTCCCCTGTGCCAAACAGAACATTATTATGTAGCAACCATTTCTCGAACAAAACAAGCAGGCAAACTGATATTTTTTTTGAACATATTAAAGAATGGAAAAGGGCAACGAAAACTGTGATATTGGTATTTCAACCTGTATTTCAAAGTATCTAAAAAGATGCACCTAACAATTGATCCATTCAAGTTATGTGACAGAGTACAATGTAACTGGCCGGAGACAAACTAGATTTTCTCACAGCCTGTTTCGATTTAGAGCGCGGTGGACAGATGGTGAGGAGAGAGTTAAATAGTACCCCGGTAAAACGGTGAATTTTGTCCCTCGTTCTACTATCTGAACGCCTGAAACAGGCTAGGGCCCTCCGGCTTACAATACCAGTGCTCTAAAGTTAATAGTTCGGTCATGCTGCCGTTTTGCTCAAGAAGGTAAGCGCTTGGATCCTGGGGAAGGATTTGTCAAGCAGTGATTACTCCCCACCAAGGTAACAGCCATGAGTGTTGCTAACGATAACCTGGCCTTAACAGGTCCGGAAGAAAATTAGCTTAATAAGGACTTACCTTAAAAAGTTTTGTAACAACTGTGATGTGCACTTGGACCATTTAAGAGCTCCTTTACCGCCCGTAAGATAAGTTGACATGATGTTTATTCCATCTTTACAGTTGTTAACCCCGTCATGTCCTGCTCCAAAACTAAAACAACAACGCACTTGGATAGCAGAATTTGGGACATACTGAGATAAACATTTATGTCAAATTTTCGGTCGTTTCTAAGAGAAAATAGAAAAATTTAGATTTGAAGACTAAGATGACCACGAGGAAGAGATTTTCTTAATACTAAGAAGTGCACGCGCGTGTACCAGCGTCTCTTTGGCGAAAAAACGTGATAGCTGTCGTCACTCTACTACTGGCTTTAGCGAGAATGTCGTAGTAGCGAAAACAAGTTATCAAGTGTTAGAAGCTTTATCACTTTGCAATCGGGAAAGGGTTTTACCATCTTCAATAAAATTGACCGTATTGACTTTTCTGGTAAAAAAACCCTTTGAAATGAAGCTTTAAGAGGTGTCTATGTTTCGAGCGTACGCGAAAAAAAATATTAAGTCCAATCGGGTCATCGTAGTTGGCGGCCTTATCTCTAATATATAGATTTAGCCACCTTAATGGTGGCCGCTAGCATTTCTCATTTTGTCACCGCCGCTACAAAATTTTCATGTTGTTCTTCCAATAAAAATGTCTCCTTTGTTTTTTTATCTCTCGCTCTAGATATCTGTCGCTCTTTTTCTCTTTAACGGAGATTCCCTGGCCTATCGCCTACGTTCTCTTTTTCTCTGTCTTTCTCTTTCTCTATATTCCAAATCTGTGGACATAAAAATTAAGCTAAGCTTTATACTTAACACAGCACAGATACAGAAACAATTTCCGCTTTCCGTTTTCGTGTTTATTGACTCTTTAGTTGTCTCTGCTTCAAAAGACGTGGATGGCTATGCGATTTCCCGCCAAAAGTAACCTCGAGTTGCATTTGGATTTCCAGTACCTGTTAATTGAGTTATTTTACATTGGTATGCCTCTGGTGCGGACGGTCGGGTGTACGGTCACATGATTACCAAAATTTCTCGGATGGATACATTACCAAGGGTAAGAAGCCCCATAGCCCCATACCAGGTATGGGCTACGCTAGCGCGCTTTGCGCGCGCGTGGCGCTCCGCTATTATAGCTTCTCATAAGGGTATAGCTTAACTGCCTCAAAGGGGTCGTGTCGCGGCAGTCCAGTTAATTTTCTTTAATTTTGCCAATTACTCGCCCTCAATCGCTATGGAACTTAAAATAAGCAAAGAAATTACATGTAAATGACAAAATCAGAGATCTGTGACAAACAAATATGTCTCCTGAGCATTATTTTTGAAGTTGCAAGCAGCAGCGGATCAACTTTGAAAAAACTGTCGGGCTGAACAGTTTTCAAAAACCCTAATTTCAATCCGTTTCAATCTTCTTCAGTTTTACCCATCCGTAGCATCTGTTGTTTCTGTTATGTTATTTTAAGCTTCCTTTAAAGTTTTAAGCAGTTTCTCTCAATTTAAAGGCCCTTTTGTTATTTCCTAATTTGACTGAATTTCGTGACACAGCTCCTTTAATTAGAACCATATAGTCTAGTTTCATTGTCATAACTGTTCCTCGATTAGCTTCAACACAAGTTGAGCATGCTTGTTTGGTCACCCAGAAATAAAAGTAACACTAACGTATTTAGCACAGAAACTCACTTGTGACCAGTTTCGTGGGCAATAATTCCAGCAGTTTGCAAACCAGCATATCCGTTTACGTTACTAACCACTCTGTGATAACACAGGCCACCAGACAATCCCCTCCCTTTGAAAAAAAGAGACATATTATTATCGTGAAATAAAAAGCAACTGTTGAATCGCCAAAAATGCAAACATGGCTGTTTACAATTCACACGTTTAAGAAATAGTCTTGTGATTGCATCGTGAAAACTTTCCAATCTATAATTATAGGTCCAGCAGCCCATCACTGTCATAGT